CTGTGCTTTATATTGGTTTGCTTTATTTTACAGTTAATTTCTAATATTAATTCAATATTTCTCAGTTTGTGTCAAGTGAAATCACATATCCTTAAAATCACTTATACATTTAATTGTTATCCAATTTTAAGGGTAAACAGTTTGGCGTTCATTATGGGGCTAAGGATAATAATGATCACCTGGTACAAATCTTCGTAACACACATTATTTTACACTTGTTCTTTGAAGTGTCTTTGATTACAGGATTAAAAATTGTCAAACTCTCAGTCAACACCTAAACACATTGACAATGATTTCAGCCACCACGACAAAAATGAGAACATTGCACCAGGAAATATTGTACCCCCTGCTGGCCTCGATGGAGTTCCGGCTGTAGATCCAATCGACGTTAGTTCACACGTAGCCATCAATGGAAATTTGGCTGACGACCCAGAAAGTAGCATTCACAGGGGTACTCGATTAGCTACTAAGAACACATATGGCTGTGAAGATGGCGGGATCAGCCTGTGGGTGATCTTTAAAATGCTGCAGGCTCAATAGGCAGCAATAACACAGCTTCAAAACCAGAATCACGCTCCAAGCAGGGTCGATCTCGAACCATCCCAGGAAGTCATACACAGAGTTGAATCGGCCTTGAGGAAACCGAATAATAAGGAGTCGGAGACCAATCCTGCTATCATAAAGATGCTCGAAGAATTGACAAAGAGAATCAAGACCAGTGAAAAGAAAATTGAGGAAAACGATAAGAAGGTGGAAACTTATAACTCCAAGGTCGACCAAATCCCGGGGCACCTCCGATATTGAAAGGACTAGATTTCAAAAAGTTTGTACCAAAACCTTTCCCCCGAGTGCGGCTCCAAAGCCAATCTCCAAGAAGTTCCGTATGCTCGAGATGAAGCATAACGGGACGACAGATCCAAACGAACACATCACCTCATACACGTGCTCCATCAAGGGAAATGACTTGGAAGATGACGAGATTGAATCTGTATTTCTGAAGAAATTCGGGGAATCTTTATCGAAGGGTGCTATGATATAGTATCATAACTTACCACCTAATTCTATTGACTCATTTGCTATGCTTGTAGATTCTTTTGTAAAGGCACACACCGGAGCCATTAAGGTCGCTACAAGAAAGTCAGACCTTTTCAAGGTAAGGCAGAAAGATAACGAGATGCTTAGAGAATTCGTATCTCAATTTCAAATGGAACGAATTTATTTGCCACCGGTTACCGACGATTGGGTTGTTCAAGCTTTTACTCAAGCTCTCAACGCTTGGAGTTCCATAGCTTCACAACAGTTGAAGCAGAATTTGATCGAATATCCAGCTGTAACATCGGTCGATGTGCATAATCGATACCAGTCAAAGATTAGGGTCGAGGACGACCAGTTGGGGGCTCCTTCCAGGTCTATTTATCTAAACAGGACCATTGACAGAGTTAAAAGGGATATTGATAATGAACTGCGATCGAACAGAGATTGATATTAGCCATAAGGTGGAGATCGGAGAAACAATGGGCCTGGACGCAACCCCATTTGAAATGATAGAAGGAATGATTGAGGACAGAGCTCCCGAGGACTCATGAGCAAGAGTAGTTTCGACAGGGATGCCAGTCTCAAAGAAGCACCTCGATTGTCAGAATATAACTTTAACGTATATGCATCCACCATCGTATCGGCCATCGAACGTATCAAAAATAGCAGATGCCTCAACCTCTGCAGACTGATACGACCTAGAGAAATCCAAACCAAATATGCAAGTATCATGGTACCCATGGCCATAAAATAGAAGATTGTAGACAATTAAGGAAGGAAATAGCCCGATTGTTCAACGAGGGGCACTTTCGGGAATTCTTAAATGATCGGGCTAAGAACCACTTCAAAAATAGATATTCAAATAGACATAATGAGAAAGAAGAGCCACAACACGTGATTCACATAATCGTTGGAGGGGTTGATATTCCTCAAGGACAAGTATTTAAACGCACCAAGGTGTCGATCACAATGGAGAAGCAAACTCGGGACTACTTACCATAAGGGACTTTGTCTTTCAATGACAAAGATGCAGAAGGGATCAAACAGCCCCATAATGACGCACTGGTAATATATGTACTTATGAATAATGCTCAAGTTAAACGTATTTTGATTGATCCAAGTAGCTCGGCCAATATAATTCGATCAAGGGTCGTAGAACAGCTCGGTCTACAGGATCAGGTTGTACTCGCGACCCGAGTTCTAAACGGCTTCAATATAGCATGTAAAACCACCAAAGGCGAGATAACTTTGCCAGTAAACATGGCGGGGACCATCCAAGAAACAAAGTTCCATGTGATCGAGGGCGATATGAGGTATAATGCCTTATTCAGGAGACTGTGGATCCATAACATGAGGGCGGTGCCTTCGACCCTTCACCAGGTTCTAAAGTTCCCAACGCCAGAGGGAGTCAAAACAGTCTATGGGGAGCGACCCGCCTCCAAGGAAATGTTTGCCATCAACAAAGTGATACCGATATCGGCAATCTCTTCAACAAAAGGGTCAAGTTCGAAGGGAAAGCAGGAGGTTAAATAGCAACCACATACATCGTCTCGACCCAACCGGAGGAGCAGGGGACTTACGAGGATGATGACTATATGGTACCTCGATCCTTCATAATCCCTGATGATTCTGACACCCCAAAATCAATAGTCGAAGAGCTGGAATAGATCATATTGATCGAGCATCAGCCTGATTGAAAGGTATACCTGGGCACAGGGTTAACTCCCGAGCTCAGGAAAAAACTTATTCAATTTCTTATAGCTAATGTGGATTGATTTTCCTGGTCCCATCTCGATATGACAGGGATCCCACTGAAGATCACTACTCATAAACTAAGCTTGGACCCAAAGTTCCGCCCGATAAAACAAAAAAAGAGGTCTCAGTCCGAGGTCAAACACACTTTCATCAAAGACGAGGTAACTAAGCTTCTCAAAATAGGATCCATCCGAGAATAAAATATCCCGAATGGTTAGTGAATGTAGTAGTAGTCCCTAAAAAAGGAAACAATCTTAAGATGTGTGTAGACTACAAAGACCTAAATAAAGCATGCCCCAAGGATTCTTTTCCTTTGCCTAACATCGATCGCATGATCAATGCCATGGCCGGCCACGAGATCCTCAGTTTTCACGATGCCTATTCCGGGTGCAACCAAATAAAAATGAATCCGGAAGACTAGGAAAAGACTCCATTCATCACTAAGTATGGTACCTATTGTTATAATGTAATGCCATTCGGACTAAAAAAACGTTGGTGCAACCTATTAACGCCTAGTAAATTACATGTTCGAAGAACAAATATGAAAATCTGTGGAAGTTTATATTGATGACATACTAGTTAAGTCCCTGTGAGCAGATGGCCATTTAAAGCATTTGTAGGAGACTTTCGATATACTGAGGAAGTACAACATGAAGCTCAACCCAGAAAAGTGCGCGTTCGGGGTTGGCTCGGGCAAGTTTCTTGGCTTCATGGTGTCCAATCGGGGAATCGAGATCAACCCCGATAAAATCAAATCTATCGAGGATATCACTGTCATAAATAATGTAAAGGCCGTGCAAAGGCTAACGGGGCGCATAGCCGCCCTAGGACAATTCACTTCGAGATCCTCAGATATGAGTCACCGATTCTTCTCACTGCTTAAGAAGAAGAGCAAATTTGCATGGACTCCGGAATGCTAGCAGGCCTTGGAGAAACTAAAGCGGTATTTATCGAGCCCTCCACTGCTTCATACCCCGAAAGTGGACGAACAATTTTATTTGTACTTGGCGGTCTCAGGGATAGCGGTTGTCACACCTCCTTTTTACACCCCGAAATGGGATATAAAGGCCTTTTTCCAATTAAAGTGACAATAATCGAAACGGGATTATTTATTCAAATTTTGAGTCGCCACTTGGGATAATTTATGGTGTCCCAAGTCGCCGGTTTAAAATCCCGAATCGAGGAAGTTGACTCTATTTATGGTTTGAGAACACAGAAATCCGGGTAAGAATTTCTGTTAACCCAGGAGAAGGTGTTAGGCATTTCCGGTTTCTGTGGTTTTAGCACGGTCGCTCAACTATTATTAATTGGCCTAATTATCTTATTAATTACATATTTTGTACATATTGTGCTTTTTAGCTTTTGATCACTTTTAATTATTTATGAAATTATTTTGGAACAAATTACAGTTGTCGTAAACCTGTTTGTTTGGTACACATTGCGAATCCTATCACAGGAACCGTACCCATGATTTACAACATATTTAAATTATTAACATTATTAGTTATTATGGTCGGGTCACATAAATGTATCCCCGAATTTAGAAATTATGTATCACAAATACGTCACGAGAACCGTACCCGTAGCTACGATAATTTTATTATAATGCGCCTAAAGCAACTAGCGCATTTAAATTATTTTCCTAATCTTTGAGATTGTTGGGATGCCAAATTTATGGACGAGATATTATTGGGGAGCAAATAGGCTAGCTAACATGATCTATTACTTGACCCGATTCCTTATAGTTCAAGACCCACCTTATGGCCCATTCTTATTCCTTGCCAAGAAAGAAACAACTCCAAATTTTCCATCTATCCAATTAAAAGCATTTATTCAAGAACTAAGATTACGTACATCACAGTCGAAATAAAAACTAATTAAAACAATTTAAATGAAAACTAAGACATGTTATTCAAACAATGTAGAATCACAAATCAACCAACACACACACCAAGCTATCAGAACAAAATGAAACGAGAATGAAAATTGAGAAATTGGCCTTTTATTGATGAACAAAGCTAAAAATTGCAAATCAATCGGGTTAAAAAAGGCAACAATCTTTGGACTGAAACACCAAAATTTCAAAATGGAACCTCGAATCGACACCGGAACACTCGACACCCAAACTCGACCTCAGATAAACCAAAAACCTCCAAATATCTGACAAAGCAGACCATCCCTCGACATTTGTGCGCTTTAAAATTCTTGATTTAGAGTAAATCGGACAACATTTGCCAACGTATGGTCCTCATATTGGGACTAAATTGCAATTGCCAAACTTCAGAAGGAGGAGCTTCGAGAGTAGCAATGGTGTTATTAGTATCAACCTCAAACACTCTAATAAAGCTATCTATAGAAGTCGATGCCGCAATTCTCCGAGTAGGATGAGCTGCAACTGATACGATGCCGAGGCAATGACCGGTGAAAGTTTGAATACAAGTGAAGTTTTTCGGGTCGCATAGCCTCACGGTTTCGTCAAGACCTCCGGTGAGAAGTAGCGCCAACGATTCCTCCGTAGACGGAATCCATGTCGCCGTCCAAATGGAGTCGTCGTGTGCGTTTTGTATGCTGTCTAGTGGAGCTTTCTTTTCTCCGTTTTTGGTTGTGTCTCCTCTGTATATGTTTTTGTGTGTAGCTTTTTTACTTTTTGAGTGTGTGTGAAGTTCAAGACCTCCAAATGAGAGTGATGGCTTCAGCTACTAGGAACTTTGGTTTGCCTTTTTTTTTCTCTTTTTCGTTCAACCAATCTCAAAGTTTGCCGCTTTAGCCTAGAGTTGTAGGAATTTTTGTTGTTGCCTTAGCTAGGTCTAGGTCTCGGTTGTGAAGAAGAAGAAGGGCCCTTTTGGATTTGAATCTAGGCTAGGAAGACCAAATAGTACAATGTATCTATAAAATATAAAAATCACTCTAAATTAAAATAAACTAATATAAAACTAAATACTAAAAGTGAAACTAATTTTTGTATTTTCAAATGTTATAATACTATAAATATAAATATACTAATTGACTTTAACCTAAAGATGAAAAATAATTTTTTTTTGTAATTTTTATTTTTTGTGATAAAAATAAAGTAAAAGAGTCAAAACTATTTAGAATAGCGATACTAAACCTAAATTGAATATTTACGCTAAAATGTGTAAAATCTTGGGGAGGGTAAAAAATTACTGTGACGACCCGGTTAGTACTCTCATGAGTTATCGCTCTGTTTCCCCCATTTCTGCTTCTTTATGCTTCGTTATCCGTGTTTTATGTGGTCGAGTTGATTCGTTTGTGTTTAGTGTGATTTTGGTAAGAAATGAGATACTTAGTCTCTTTTAAGAAGGCTTAAGTTGGAAAAGTCAAGCGGATGTTGACTTATGAATTAGAGGGCTCGGATATGAGTTCGAATGGTTCAATTAGCTTCGAGAGGTGATTTGTGACTTCGGAGCGCGATCAGAATGGGTTTTGGAGTTGTAGAGGAGATTTAGGCTTGAATTGGCGAAATTGATATTTTGGCAATTTCGGGTTGATAGGCGAGATTTTGATATAAGGGTCGGAATGGAATTCCGAGAGTTGCAGTAGCTTCGTTGTGTCATTTGGGATGTGTGCGCAAAATTTCAGGTCATTCGGACGAGATTTGATAGACCTTTTGATCGAAAGCATAATTTAAGAGTTCTTGGAGTTCGTAGGCTTGAATCCTATGTTAAATTGGTGATTTGATGTTGTTGTAAGCATTCCAAAGTGTTGAACAAGTTTGAACGATGTCATGGGATGTGTTGGTACAATTAGTTTGAAGTTTCGGGGGTCTCGGATAGGTTCCGAGATGTTTTAGGAAGAAAATCATAGTTGTAGCAGGTCCAGGAGGGTTGCAGTCCTCGGAAACCACCCGCGCAGTCCGCACAAAAAGAAGTGCGGCCACGGAATGTGCTGTGCGGACCGCACAAAAAGAAGTGCAGCCGCGGTAGGTGTCATGCTGATCGCACAAAATGGTGTGCGGCCGCGGTGGGGAAACAATTCGCTGGTCCTACTTCGGAAGCTCATATCTTTTGATCTACAGGGAATTTCGAGATGATTCAAAAACAAAATACTAAAGCCTGTCACTATAGAGGAAGGCCTATGCGGCCACGGTTGTTTTTGTATGGACCGCACTGGCTTGTGCGGACCGCGGTCGATTTGGTGCGGCCCGCGGAGGCTGAAATCTGGGGGGTACTCTATAAATACGAGGTTTTGGGTTTTATTTAATATTTTGACCTAGAGAGCTCAGATTTTGGCAATTTTTCGAAGGTTTTTCAAGAAATTCATTGGGGTAAGTGATTTTAACTTAGATTTGGCTAGAATACATGAATCTATCCCTGAATGCATCATTTAATTCGTGATTTGGGATGAAATTTGGAAAGAAAATTGTGAAACCTTTCAAAAATGTAAAATGATGATTTGAAGGACCAAATGGTGTCGGAATTGGATAATTTTGGTATGGTTAGACTCGTGAGGGTATGAGGATTCTGAAAATGTAAATTTTACCCGATTTTGAGATGTGGGCCCGGGGGTCGGGTTTTGGTAATTTCGGGATTCGTGCCCTTTGTTGATTGTTTTTCGCTTGGGCTTTGTTTCTTTAGCATATTGTGACGTATTCGTTCTGATTTTGGATAGATTCAACGCCCATGGAGGCCTATTTGAGGGGAAAAGGCGTCGCGCGCTAGAGATTTAGCCGGTTCGAGATGAGTAATAATTATAAATGATGTCCTGAGGGTTTGAAACCCCGGATTGCACATCGTAGTGCTATATTGAGGTGAGACACGCGCTGGATGATGAGCGTGGGGTCTTTAACTACTGGGAATTTTGACTTGGTCTGTCCCGATTGATGATTTTACCGCGTATTTGACTGAAATTCATTTGTTATCATCATGATTTGGGCTGATTGCCATATTTGGACTTCGTGCCAACTATTTGAACTCTTCGGGGGGTTTTTATCACTGTTTCCTCACTACATGACTTATTATTTGAACTCAGTCCTGTTGATATCTACTATTTTACAAACTCAGCCACTTTTACTCAGATTTGAAACTTAAATGATATTTCTACATCATGTTTTGGGCTGAGAACTACTGTTTTACTAATGCCCAAGGGGCTTGTGATGATTTTTGGACTGAGTGAGGTCGAGAGCGATATGTGAGGATATGCTGAGTGATATGAGCAATTGATACTGTGCCCGAGGGGTGGATTTCTACTTGTTATTACCTGTTAAATTACCTATTTTACTTGTTTTAAAAAAAGGAATATCATTTGATTTCTTCACTGTTACTGCTTTAAGTGATTTTACTGCTTGATATGGAATCGCTTTATGCCTTTACGTGTTTTCATACCTTTTTAGCCATTATTTATAATTATTACTCACTGAGTCGGAGTACTCACATTACTTCATACACCATGTGTGCAGATTCAAGCATCGCAGAGTCTGCTCCTGAGTGTTGATTCTCTTAGTTCAGGTAGTGATTCGGAGACTACGAGGTAGCTATTGGCGTTCGCAGCCCCGTGCCTCCCTTATCTTATTATTTTCATGTTTTTAGAACTATAGTATCGTAATTAGTGTTCAGTAGACTTGTATCTGGATTTCTTAGTTGCTCATGACTTGTGACACCCCGGTTTGGGCTGTGTCAGGATGGTTTCCACTGTTGTTATCGTTAAATTTTTGTAATCTATGGATATTATATTATGTTTATTACTGTTTATGATAATTAACTACTTAAAGAGGTGTTCCGTTTTGGTCTGGCTGGCCTTGTCTTCACGAGAAGCGCCATCTTGACCAGGTTCGGGAATTGGGTTGTGATAAGTTGGTATTAGAGCCTAGGTTACATAGGTCTCATGAGTCATGAGCGGGTTTAGTAGAGTCTCACGGATCGGTACGGAGACGTTTGTCTTTATCCTCGAGAGGCTGCAGAACCTTTTTAGGAAAAACTTCATATTCTTGAAACTCTCGTCGTGCGAACTTGTTGGTCCGAGTACTAAACTTCTGTTATTCCATTCTCTTATAGATGGTGAGGACGCAAGCTACCGGATAAGGTGGACGACCACCAGTGCCACCAGTTGAGACCACCAGAGGCCGTGGACGCAGTCGTGGTTGCGGCAGAGGTAGAGCAGCACCTGTAGATCCACCAGCTGCCCTAGCTCAGGATTAGGCTCCAGCTATGGATGCTCTAGCAACACCAGTTCAGGCACCCAATGTGCCCATCGTGATTCCGGGTCTCCAGGAGGCCTTGGCACAGATCTTATCAGTTTGCACTGGCCTGGCTCAACAACCACTTCATAGGCCGGGGGAGGCAATCAGACCCCCGCTGCTCGCACCTGAGCAGGTAGTGCAGGGACTATAGACACCGGGTGCACCTCCAGCTCAGGAGTTTTTTGTGCCAGTTATGCCGGATGATGAGCAGCGTCGTCTTGAGAGGTTTGGTAGACTCCAGCCTCCGTCATTCAGTGGTGCTGAGGGCGAGGATGCCCAGGGTTTTCTAGATAAGTGTGAGCGGATGCTCCGTACAGCAGGGATTCTTGAGTCTAGTGGTGTGGCATTTACTACTTTTCAGTTTTCTGGGGTTGTCTTCACTTGATGGGAGGCGTATGAGAGGCGTAGGCCGGTTAGAGTATCTCCCCTTACTTGGCATGAGTTCTCCACTCTCTTCTTGGAGAAGTATGTACCGTAGTCCTACAGAGCGGAGCTGCGTAGACAGTTTGAGTGGTTGTGACAGGGGGATATGACTGTGTCACAGTATGAGTCGAGGTTTTCTGAGTTGGCATGCTATTTGGATGATTCCGACAGATCATGAGAGGATCAGGAGATTTGTTGATGGCCTTAACTATCATCTCCGTATTCTTATGACCCGAAAGAGGGTGTTGGGTGCTACATTCGAGGAGGTGGTCAATATCGCTCGCGAGATTGAGAAGGTTTGCCGTCAGGATCGAGAGGAGAGGAAGGCCAAGAGGGTCCAGGGGATCGGGCAGTTACAGTGGTGACTCCATCGAGGGGCCAGTTTCAGCATGGTAGAGGCTGTTCTTTTAGGCCTGCTCAGTCAGCTCACCCAGGTTATCATGGGGCATCTTCGGGTCATGGTTATCACGGTACTCAGCAGGGCCAGTTATCATTTAGTGCCCTTCCAACCCAGAGTTCATCTCGTGCCCCGTCAGCTCAGGGTTCTTCTATGCCGAGTGCATCAGCTAGTCACTCCGGTGTGAGGGGTTCCCTTCAGTCCCCGGAGTTATTTTGAGTGTGGAGAGTTTGGACATGTGTGGAGGTAGTGTCCTCGTCGTATTGCTAGTTCATCTCAGTAGAGGGGTAAGCCCTCGACTTCTACTCCAGTTACCTCACCACTCGCCCAGCCAGCTAGGGGTGGAGGTCAAGCAGCCAGGGGTCGCCCCAGAGAGGGAGGTCGATCAGGGGGTGGTCAGGCCCGTTTCTATGCACTTCCAGGTAGGCCAGATGCTATTGCTTCAGATGCTGTCATTACAAGTATTGTTTCAGTCTGCCACAGAGATTCCTCTGTATTATTCGATCTTGGTTCCACCTTTTTCTTATGTATCATCATACTTTGCTCATTATTTGGGTACACCCCGTGAGTTTCTTGCTTTACCTGTTCATGTATCTA